TAATCTGAACATTATGTTAATTGCGAAAATATTCAAGACTTATTTGATATTACGTAGGCAAATTTCATTATAAATAATCTGGATATATTACTAAACTTCACAAAAATAGGTCATACATTTAAAGATAAGTCTTCTGCCAATATTTATATAATAGATTACGTAGAAGACTTATTCTCAGAATATATTCCTTCTCTAGGTTTGCAAAATGAATCCTCTGAGCCTCAGATAAGTAGTAAGAAAAATGACACTATTATTTAGGAAGATGCTAAAAGTGACAAACTAGTAAGACTTCCATCTGATAATATCTAGTAGCATTTTTTACTTACTCCTCAGTAGATAATTTAGATATCTTTCTGGATTAAAGAGCCTCAACTAAATAAATCTAACCCATCTGATTCTTCCTTATCCGATAATTCATAGGTCTTTGCAGGTTGAAGGGTCTCATCTAATAATTCAGAGGTTTTTGTAAGCTGAATAGCTACAGTCTCAGCCTTACGTTTCTGCTTCATCCAGTAATTATGTGAATGAAACTTTGTAAAATATTTGAAACAATATTTGAAACAAAATCCTGAACTAGCATTGGTAAGAAATCCATAACCAAAGCAGTGGATTTTTTTCATATTTTTTTCATATAATTTCTAGTGCCTATAACATCCTTCAGGAAGCTAGCATTTATTTTCATAAGTAGTGTCATCCCTCTTGATATATAGGCAAGTAAAGGGAGTCATAGAAGTATTTTAGAATATAAAACCCTCTTTCACTTTTAATTTCATAATAAAATATGTATTTAAATTAATCAGAATTATAATGAAATAAATTATCTTTTCATACTAACGTTATGGATATATTAGATTAACTAACAGAGTGCAAGCCTGAAGGTAAAGCTTACAAAAAAATCTATAATCTCAAAACTAATCATATGATAATTATAAATAGGCCAGTATATTGTAAATTGTTACATAACAGATATATGCATTAGAAAGAAGAAAGGCTTTTAATCTCACCTTTACATAAATTACTAATATTAAGAAGATATTTTTCTTTCATTTTCTATTATATTTGAGATATTGTATCAGAAAGAAGTTTACTAACAGTGATTAACGAAAAAATAAACCTATTGCAGATTTTACTCAAAGCTAATTGGCACAATTTTACCTTATGCCAACTATTAAAATTATGCTGGAGGCATAAAGAGATGAAAGCTTGGAGGAATAACGTACTCATGAAATTTCTTCATCATCCAAATTTAGCTCCTTCAAAGTATAGGTCAAGTGCTTTATATGATGCATTTACCAAGATAAACATTTTAAGGCTAGAGCATATATTAGCTCTAGCGCGTGCACTTTACTAAAATGTAAATTAATATAGATAATTCGTTTATAGCTTTAAAATGGGAATTCTTGGCTATTTTTATTTGCATATCCTATCTATCTGCAAATTTCAAATTGATGTGACTAGAGCAAAAGTTATATATTTTTTTCCTTCTCTAACCTTCCAATAGTTTTTACCGACTATGGTAGAATAATTTTTTGAATTGAACTTTTTCAGATATAGAATAACTTAAGGGTTGCACATAATCTAGTAGTTACTTCACAAGCTATATCTATACAACCATATCCGCAATTGTAATAAAGTACGTTGCAAAACACAAATTCAGTAATGATATGAGTAATAAAGAACTTAGTCAGCACGCTCCAGAATTACTCGAGCTTTTGACAGATAAACTGAAAAAAGACAAAGGTCATCAGCACTTTAAAAAGAATATAATTTTAGCAGAGAGCAGGCATTTGTACTAATTTCTGATTAGAGAATTTGCCGAAGTAGAAGTCGAGTAATTCCTAAAGAAGAAGAGGATGAAGCAGAGAAAGTTAATAAATGCCATGTATCTGACATCATCTCAGATAGAGAAACCATCAAAAGTATAACCCAGCGTATTATTTGAGATAATCTTAGTGAAAAAGAAGTAAAGACGATAGCCAAGACTTTAACTATAACATTCTTTAATTCTATCGCCACCACATCCTGTCTTAGTAGGCTTTGAAGAGAGTTGTGAAAACTTAATGCTTCAGAAAAAATAATCTCTGCTACATTAGACAAAAAAACAACCTGTCATATCTAATAAGATTCAAAAGGAACGTAGGGATCAATGTAAAAATGAAGGGATTAATTTTTCAGATCACTTCTCGTTAGAATTGGTTAAGGAGAAACTCAATTTCTATGATGTGTCTAACACACTTGATGTGCAAGCCCTAGCCAATGTAATGATAATGCTTTGCGTCTGTCCTACTGAAATTAAAGACTTACGCATATTTAATAGAGGTGTAATTGGATATGCAAAAAACTGAGGCTAACAGGATAATTCTCAGATATTTAGATCATTAGAAAGAAATAAAGAGCGGACTAAACTTCTCCTTACTTAGATTTAGGATGCAATTTCTTCTGAACAGTTAAGAAATCCAGGAATGCCAGGAGTTAAATGGGTTAATACATTTCTGAAAAAAGATAAATTTCTTCCTGAAACTGGTAAACTACTTCTTTCTAGCTATTTGCACAAATTAGAGATAGTATTTGCAGTCATATCAAATAGTGCGAAGAATTTATCAAATGCTATGACCATCACCAGTCAAGCCTTTTGATATTTGCCAGACAACTATGCCTTCCTAGCGTAAAATTATACTATAATCAATTTTCGAAAAAGAAGACAGTCTTATGATCAGGCAATGGCATTCAAGCTTTTCGACGAAAACTAATCACATAGATGGGTTAGACAACATTTATTAAATTTTATTTTTTCGTTCGCCTAAGATCTAGCATATATAAAATATTATGAAAATGATAACTGATCAAAATCATTCATCTGATATATTTAACGAGTAGGAAGTTATTAGATATACAAAGATATTAGCTTAGACATTTGAACTAAATGAGCAAAATGCAGAAGTATATAGTGCAGTTTTCAGTGAAAATAGAGCACTAAAGAAACAATTGGAAAATTATCATTCCCAACATAACACTTTAGAAAAAAAGGTAAAAAGATTAGAGAGATATATAAAGTCCTTAAAGACCGAATTAGAAGATCTGGACGAATGTGTAGATAGGGAAACTATAGTCAACTTAATTCATGAAATAGTTCTCTCGCTGATCGGTAAAAAGAATGTTCCTCATGCTTTTGCGTCTTTATCAAAGCAACGAAGGAGAACGCGACCAAAAAAGGTTAAGCGAATGGTAATTTAAAGTAAGCTGAGTTAGGCACTTTACATATTTTCGATCAAAGATATTAAGTTTAATATATAAATAATCAAAATGGAAAGTGACCAGCCGAAGGCACTCAGGGTAAAGCATCTGATAGCCTTAACCAATATCCCACTCAAGTCTACTTTGTTTGAGACTAGTTCGTCTGAATTAAGCTGTTTTGAGTCTAGTTCGTCATCTGAGAGTAGTTCTTTCAAAACTAGTTCATCTGAATTAAGTTCATCTGAGAGTAGTTCCTCTAAGACTAGCTCATCCGAATCCAGTTTATCTGATTCGATATTGATAAAATAGTAAACATTATTAAGCATCAAAGAATTCAGAAGCACTAAGTCTAAAGGAAAGATCAGAAGAAAAATGCATATAATAAAAATAAGGCTAATTAGCTATCTGATAAATAGGAGTCCAAAGCGATGATAGAGGTTTATTTTTTTTGACTAAAAGATATTCTAATTATATAAATAAAATAATGTATACAGATAATTTACTTGATCTTCTTTCGCTAAAGATAATATCATTTATTCTAAAGTATCTTCTAGAACAGAAACTAAAGAATTCTTGTAGTATAAATAATATATGGGAAAGAGAAGTGAATCTTGAATGATACAAAAGAATAGAATTTTTATTTGAAAGAATAGTTTAAGGCAATTATACAGTAAAAGAATATTATTCAAAACTGAAAGAGTGTAATTTAAGCAAAGACTATTCAGAATGGCTTCTTAAAAATCTATTTCTCAAAGGATTATCATCTGAGAATACATTTAAAGTTCTTTTGTTCTTGAAACTTTCTGCATATACTCAAGCTTTTGCATGTATTAATAATAAAAGATCCCCCTTGTTGATCCAGAACACAATCCCTGTGTCTATTATAATTTTAGGGAGCATCTATTGATCTGATTTTTGTGATGAATCACAATAATGTAATTTTCCTAAAGATTTATTCCAAAAATTAAACCTTAAACCCATTACAAGTCATATAAAAAGAAGTTGAGATAGTTAGGGAAGTGACACATATTACATCATTATAGATTTATTATAAAGCTGATCCCCTTTCCCTCTAGGTTAAACTTATTAATCATGTGATTTGTTAAATTATATACATTCAACTAATTATCATTTTGATTTCGTTTAAAATCTTTTTTTTACTGACATTCAAATAATGTAAAATCTAAAATGAATGTAAAATGTAATGCTCCACTTTTTGAAAAACCTTAAAAAAATTTTTTAGAATTTGTTTAATATATAAGTTATTTTAAGACATTTATTTCTGAAATATTTTTCATAAAATTTGAAAAAAATTACAGAGGAATTCAAATCTATAGAGACATGGAGTTGTGCTGGCTGGAAACAAATATGCATTGATTTTAATAGTTAATAATGACGATATTAAATAGTCTACAAAAAATATATATCAGATGATTTACATAATCTAACGTAACTCGTGAAGATTAATTGAAATTTTCATGTCTATGAAAATTTTTATATTTTAAAATCTCAACATGCAAACCTTTCTAACTATACCAAAATATAACAAATTTTATATTTATAAGACTCTTACAAGCCAATACCAAAGGTTTTGCAATACTTTTGGATATCACCATATGATGAATACAAAAAACCCTATGTATCTAAAAGTTAGTCTATATACAAAATGTAATAACGTGTAAAAAGAAATTTGACATAAATCTAAGAAAGAAATTGAAAGTAAAATCAGAGAATACTTGGCAATATTAATTCCAATCTAAGGTTTTATGAAAATTAATCGATCACGAACCAGCCTGTCACAAAGTTCAAAATCTACTCAAATTAACCAAGTTCTTCAAAGACCTATTGATGAGATTATTGTAGCTGATTCTACTCTGCCTCCTAATGTTACTGCACAAAAAAAAGCCGTGAAAACCATTAATACAACTAATACAATACTTGCTGAACTTTAGAGAATTTATAATTTTACTAATGACTTAAAAATTCGGAATAATTTAATGGAGCATATGGAAACTCTCAAACAAGTTCTGCATGATAAGAATAATAAGATTAAGAAATTGAAACGTCAAGCAGGATATTAACAGAAAAATAGGGAAAAAAAGCAAAACTCTTGCAAGAGCATCAAGAAGTAATACAATATGATTCACCTGATCGTTTACCTTTTTAAAATCAAAAATTGAATGATGACTTCATTACATATGAGACTAGCACTGGACGCTCTATAATAGATCACATTTTTATGTACTCTTTATTAACCCTTGATCTTATCGACCAAACTGTAGAAAAGGTTGATGGAGACTTGTCTGACCATGCCATTGTTTATGCAACTATCTCTTTAGCATCTATTAATCTGTCTTCACCTAACGTGCTACAATTAAAAAACTAGTCTTTCAATATGATGAAATGTTTGAGGAGAACTAGTCTGCCTTTAGAACTTCAGTTGATCAACGATGCAAATATACAAGGCTTTATAATATGTCATTAAATAGCATATATACTATACATCAATTGAACCACTATTGGGATCTTCTACAGAAATCAATTATAGACGCTGCTACCAAAATAATTCCTAATAAGTATACATCACATCACAACTGAGACCTTAGACCACGTATCCTTAAATTGATTTATAAACATATTAAGATAGTCCAAAAACTTTGCAAGTCTGGTAATAAATGCATCAAGAATAACATCGTCAATCCCAAATGGACCACATGGTATAAAAAAGTACAAGCTTTCTCAACAAAATATGGCATAATAATCTCCAACACTAAATACTCCTCGCTACAAGAGATCAAGATGCTCCTTCTCCTATTAATTGATCTTCAAAAAGTTCTTTCCACAGCAGCTAAATTAAATGAAGCAGAACTTAAAACCAAAGCCATCAATGAAGCTATCAAAAGACATTGTAATAATTTCATAGACGACCAAAAATCTATATTCAATTCATTACTAGATTGTTTCTGCACTACCATTACATTTGACAGATACATAAACAACAATAGCCCTGACAAAGAACTCCTTACAAATCCAAAAGAAGTTCAGAATGAAACTGCAAGACATTTCCAAAAAGTAGTTGGCTCTCAGTATTCTAACCCATCTCTCCTTGAGATATGAAACAAGTCTATTTACTAGATGAATCAATTGATCCTGACATATACAACAATATTATGCAACCTCCTTCAGAGGAAGAGTGGAACAATATCATTAGGACGCTTCCTAATGGAAAAGCTCCTGGACTATCTAAGATTTCCAATGAAATATTAACATACCTTGGCTCCTTCGCAGCCAAATATTTCTGGATTATAATCTGCAGATGCATGTTGCTTAATCTTGCATCTAGTAGATAGAATCTAGCCTTTGTATATCCCATACCCCAGCTAAAATTTTGGGAATACAATTTAACAAACACACGACCAATTACGCTTCTCAAATGCCTACGTAAAGCTCTCACTAAATTAATCAATGGCAGACTCTTACATACTTTGTCTACCAACAACATTCTCAAAGAAAACAACTTTGCTGGTCTACCCTACAGGAGTACCTTCGAACTGATTCATATTTTCGATAATATCAATTACGATGTCTCATTCTACCACAATAACCTTTGGATTCTATTCTAAGATATGTTTAAAGTATATGACTGTGTTAATATTACCATTTTGATTAGAGCCCTTGGACGCCTCTAAATCTTAAAAGTATTTATAAAATTCCTGATCTCGATTTTTATTTCTCATTTTAATCAAGTGTTTACCGCGTACGATAATTCTGATACTTATTTAGTCCTCTCAGGTATTGACCAAGGTGAAATCATATCACCTATTTTATGGTGTATATATTACAACCTGTTTCTTTGTTTTGTGTAAAACTCATCACACGGCTATACACAACACGTCCACTAGAACACTGACGTTACAAACTGTAATATCTAAAGCTTTTCCAACTATGTTCCCATACTGGCATATATGAACGACACACTCTGGCTTGCAAATTTCAGATCAGATCTCCTAAATATTATGAGGATTACTGACTCTTTCTATATTCTTAATAGCATTCAAATCAATTGAGATAAATTTGTTTTTATGATAAACGACAAAGATTTCTCTCCTATCAATTTCAACTTCAATGAAAATAATATTTGGCTCACACTACTATACCATAAGAAATTCACCAGATATTTAAGAGTCTGGGTATCTTTGTTTAATAATAGACAATTCATAACCAAACAAATTCGTGATGAGTTTATTAAAACAAAGACGTGCTTAACAAGAAAAGGCTAACAGTGAAGCAAATAGTTGCAATATTCAATACCATCATTATCCCTCAGCTTTTATACAAAACAAAACTGACATTCATCCCGCGGTCAGCCTGTGATACTTTGATGGCTTCCTTCCAAAATTTCTTCAAAAAGAAACTTGGACTTTCAAGATTTATATCTTCTTCTGTTCTTCACTCAACCTTTGGCTACAATCTAGCACATTTGTATGACAAACAGATTCAAGCCAAGTCATCCGATCTATTAAAGATGATTAATGATATTTCACTTCTTGATTCAACTTCGCGGTTACGAATTCTGCAACTACAAATATTAGAATAGCTACCCTCGTTCCCATTAACAGATTGATCATATACAGACACAAAGCCTTTTAAAGACTGGTGGTTAGGATTTCTGTCAGCTGCTAAGCAGATTGGATTTAAATTCCAACAATGTATAGACAAAGATTATAATCTCAAACAAATAGATGGAGGGTCTCTCCAAATAATACAGTTTCTTCCCTTCAAGGTTTATCAGCAAAATATAATGAAACTGTGTTCACTTTCGATCTTATACGTTGATCAACTTACCACCATAGATGGTACTCACCTGTTCCCAGCCTTTGACCTAAATATGGTTTATGACTCAGTATTATATAGTGCTAAATGGTTCAAACTATTAGAGTCGCAGCTCTTAACCAGTACTTCGAATTGACTACTACTCAATAAATGCCTCCCTCATACTTCACTTATCAAAGAACCTACTCAACTAACCAACTTTAACATTTCAGCAACCAACCCAACCTTTGTTACAATTTGGTCTAACCAATATATGACCTTCATAGTAAGTAAAGTAATCAAAGTCAAAGATACTATCATCCATGCATAACATTATTTGCCAAATCAAGCTGATAATTTTCAAACACCTATTGCTCCTTGTACTAGATGTAACCTTTTTGATCATTCAGCTTTTATACCTTACAAACAACAACAATGCCATCATTTTTATGCCATCAAATTATCCAAGTCATTTTGTTTCATATTTAAAACTTTTTATAAATACTGCGAGGGATGGTGGTGTAGTCTTTCTCACCTTTTGCTTCATGAAATTGCTCTGTCAACATTAACATCTCCTTATCAATATCCAACCAGACCTTTACCTAGCTTAGATGTTAGCCTCTTTGATCAAACATCTATTAATAAATTAGATCGCCTTAAATTACAATTTACTTATGCTAATGCTCTTCAATTTTATACAGATAGTTCTCTTACATCTTTAGGATCTTCTGAATACCGAATGGGAATAACGTGATTACAAACTGACCAAAATTGGCCTTTGCTCTCCTTTAATGCAATACTCATTTCACATTCTCCTTCTTCAACCTTAGCAGAAATAGTTGCCTATATACACAGCTCCACCGAACTCCATTATTGAAATCTGTACAGACTCACAAGCTGCAATTGTCTCATATCAAAAAATTACCACCATATGTGAAGAATCTTCCTTTCTAAATCCTGCTTTCAAAATTCCTTATTTCCATATTTGGATGATCTTAATGCAACTCATTACATCCAACAATATTATGTTGTCGTTGACAAAAGTTAAAGCTCACAGATCAGACGAACTTAACAATAAAGTAGATGCTCTTGTAAAACAACTCTCTAGTGACCCTTTGAGTATTAATAGTAACCACCTAGATCCTAAATACTTCATGAGCTATAATAACACACCAGTCATCACACCACCATGTTTATTCATTAAACACATGTAACAAGCATCTTGGGCTGGAATAATTTTATTCCTTCCTTAATTTGCAAAGTATCACAATTTTTACATTGATTGGCAAACTCTCTTTTACATTCTCAATAACTCAGAAAATACTAGGATGACATCATTTGATGCATGCAAATGAAAGCAATTCAAGATCAAATTATTATTACAATTACTTCCCACTTTTACAATAATGAATACACGATATCCATAACTTTATACCACTAATACCTGCTTCCAGTGTAATATTGCAACCAAAGACTTTGATCATATTTGGTCTTGTTCCTAAAATACAATTTCTCTTACTGACTTAATACAAAAGCACAAACAGTCTTTCTTGTCTCAACTCAAAGAACTTAATAGACCTAACAATGATACTTTAATTGATGATATTGATCAATCTTCAATATGGTATTGCAACTCTTTCAATAATAACTTATGTTTTATGGATCTCATAAAAGGAATTATCCCTTCGTCATTTTTCTTCTCTATTACTTCTATCACCAAAATAAACAACTCACCCAAGGCCTATTATCATCCTTATTTGATGATATTTTCTTCTCAGCTCATAATTTATGGCTAACACGATGCTCATCACTACAAACTTGAAAAATTTCAAATAATATCAAAGACGATTTCTCTGTTGCTTAGGTCTCCTCTGGACTCCCACAACCTACACAAACTCTGCATAATAACTCCTCCTCCTTTTCTACAGCTCTTGCTTTTGGTTCTCACTAGTCAAATTTTTGGTACGGCAGTAACCATGCTTTTCCTTCCAGACGTTTGATATCTGTATGTTAGTTTAGATTAGTTTCTTTTCTTATCTAATATATAGTTTAGTTCAGTAAAGTGTAAGATTGGTATTGATAAAGTAGTTTAGTCTCTAGATTAGTTTATAGATATTTTTGTATTTTCTGTTTTATTTTATTTTTCT